TACCGGTCTTGGCTTTATAGTGTAACAAGAGCTTTATCCATTTATACTGGATTCTCAACAGGTGTTTAGGAGTTAGAAGCGGTCGCCGAACCTCTGGGGCTACTGCCGAAAAATCCTTGTGTTGATTTCTTTATTTATCGCACTTGTATGTTTATGTTTATGGTCTGAATGTTTAGGTTTTATGATTGTTAGACTAATCATACTTGTTCTCTCGTCCTTTCAAACATTTTAACTTAGAAATTGAATAGACGTAGCAGCAAATTATCTTGAACTATTTTTTACATGATCTAATGGATATCAATACATAGTTAGAATTTATGAAATACATCTAACTGGGGTCATGCATATTCAAATAACAGTTAAAAACGAAAGATGAGTTTATTTCATGACTATAATAATGTGTGTGTTTTTTTTTTTTTTTGGTATAAGATGTTTACACATGTACAACATGTAATATTTAGTAGTAAACATGGATGAAACACGTAATTAAAACACAAAGAGATAAAACATATGTTGGAACATTGACACAGTGAAAACATCCCAACACAACACACAACATGTAATATTTCGTTGTGTTTGATGTTGGAACTTCCGGTTAGGGTTTACATATGAACTACGCAGCCCTAATCACCACGAAGCAGGGATCTAAAAGATCAAGTTTTCGAATTATACTATGGGTTATAGTGTTTGTTGTAAATCTCTAAATGATTAATGTTTCGAATGTTCTTGAGATTTCTTGATTAGAGGAAGATTCTATATTCACAGGGTTGGAAAGAACAAGAATTGGGAATTTATGTGTTTGTCAAACACATAGGAAGCGAATGTTTGGCTGAGTAAAGTTAGTTGCCATATATGTTGGGTTATTTTTTACATTTTAGTTTTACTTAGATTTTAGTGTAATTAAGGAATAAAAAAAGGTTAAAAGTATCGTGTGAATATTCTTCAAATACGGTAGTTGGTGCAAATTCCTATTAAAGGAAAAAAAAATGTATAATGTTGGTCCAAATACCTAGCTCTATTTTTAATCCCAACCCAAACCCAAGGCTCAATTATTCAAATTTTATTAAAGACACTAAAATTATTAAATAATAGTTTCATGACATTCATGAAACGTGTTTATTTAATGCATGTTTGACTAAATTTATTTATAATTATTAAGTAAATTTTATTAATTTACATTGATTATATCTAAAAAGTTTACTTGTTCCTCTAAAGAAGCAAGCATCAACAATTTTCTGTAGCGTGATTTCTTCCACAATTCTCACATGCTGAACTGACCATCAATGTGTTTGCTCCACGTGTTTGTAATTTTACAACTAACTCCACATGATTTGTTAAATTAGCAATCTGTACATTGGTAGATGTTGTGCTATCTAGTTCATGAATTCAAGCTGTCTTTTTTGGTACTACTCTTTCTGATGAGGACATTGAATGTGTAGTGACAATTAATTCGAATAAGTCTAGGCATTGTTGAACTGATTTACCAATGATTGATCCACCAGTAGAGTGATCCATCTGAGATTTTGACAGTGGTACCACTCCAAACCTACATCCCTCATCGTGTAAAGAAATAAATGCAACTTGATAGCATTTTCATTAACTCCTAGAACATGAAAGTTTGACAATTCTGAGAAATTTGGAGATATGTGTGTTTGGATTTTCATGAGTTAACTGTTGACCTATGGTTGATCATGACCTTAATGTTTTGATTATAACAAACAAGTCCATCTTGTTTACTAACAAATTGAATTGAGTGTTTAACTCTTCAAAGTTATAAAGATAATTATTCACACTCAAATGAAGTACAAGTGAAGTTTAAACGATCATTCAAGACAAATCACTCGAGACAATAGTGATTTGCA